ATATAAACTAATAGCTGAAGTTTATTCCGTGATCTAATAGCACACTATGTGTGACACGATCACCTAGGACCAACAAAAGTACATAAGATTCAAATCTAATGTACAACCCGTGCTTCACAGGATACATTACAAATCACACTTACATTAAGCTCAACTTTTGTCGCCAAACTGCACCGGATTCTGCACCACGTAACGCATGTTCGACGGCAGCGATGGAACGATTTCGATGTACTTGACTAGAATAAAAATTAATGTGATCCATTGTATGTGCTCCATAACACTGACATTTTCATCATCCATTCATGCGGCTCTCCGTGGAAATGTTTTCATTACAACACCGAATAGCTCGTTCGATGTAAACCAAGGGTTCTGTACCACTTCAGTGACTAACAACTCCGCACACACTAACTGAAACCCTGCTGCAGCTTCTAACATTACATCCCGCCGACAAGCACTTACTTTTCGTGGTCGGTGATCTGAGTTGCGGCAAGTGGCTACACTGAGGTTGAGGTTGTCAAATTGAAAATAATGGAACAAGTTCCACCGCCTTCCTTTACTGGCAACGTTTCTGGAGTCACCAGCTAAGAATCCCCGTTAGGGTTGTCGGATCAGTCATTTCTGTCCTATTTCTACAAGTCGCTGGCACTCAGAGGCGCTCTTTCTTCAGAGAAAGAAATACTACTATTACTGTACTGTTGAACAAATATCGGTATTTAATTCTGTCCGGGAATGTTCGAAATACTGCAACACCAGGAGGAATGAAATAGGTTGGGGAACCAGTAAGAAAACGGAATTTACACTATTACAACTCAAGGATCGTCGGCTGATTACTTCAGGGAATCGTCAGCTCATCACCTCCATCGCAGTTTTTCCTCTTCTGTCATATGGCCGATCAGTGAACAGAATATTTCTTACGTACTTCCTCTCGTTATGTCATTTCCTAAGTACTTTCTGTCCTCCATGCTGGTGAACGAGATGTCATTATGCCACAATTTTAGGACAAGTAACAAACATACGTCTAACAGACAAACTAATGTCATGGCAAAAATAGGAAAACGGCCAGCAACACGTCTTTTGCTCATGCGATACAATCTATCAAGAGAAAATGACAAATCGACTCCATCAGCCCTTTTAGTGCATCTGAAATGACAACCTAATGTCTCATTTCATAAACTCATTCGCTCACCCCTCCCCCGCCACGAATGAAGTGAAGATGCTACCTTAACAATATACATTCTTTTTACTCATCGTCTGAGAAATTACGGCTGCTTTTAACGAACTATTGCCAAAAGTAGTCCTAAAAGCTAGTATAAAATGCCAGATGTGTGAATCAAAGCAAAACCAGCGGTCAGTAGTGCTGTGAGGATGGGCATCTCAGTAATTGATCTACGGTTTAAAATAAACATTTTTACTTTTACGAAGATCACGTTCCACTGATGTAGTCAGATAAACGATGAGTGAAAAAGCAGAGTAGTTCTTGGGTATTTGCTCCTCTAAGTTTGTCCCGGTAGACTCCATTGCCACAGCTATCCACTTACTTGTACATGGATGCAGTCAGATTTTAGATAGTTCTCTTTCCAAAGAAAGCACAACACCAGTACAGCACCTAAGCAGACTCTTTCACTCAAACGGATGGCATGTTCAAACGAAAATTGCACTGATACTTTTAAATTGCATAGTTTCTGTTTGCAGACATTCTGATAAATTCATGGAACAAAACAAATTTTTAAAAAGAAACTGACTGTCTCTGATGGCAGGAACAGAAGCAACAGATTTTGAGGGAGGCTTGTTCCTCTCTTCTTCCTTTTTCTGGCGCATCAGAGCCTTTTGGCGCAATTGATCTCGTCTGGAAAAACATAAAGCGAAAAATATTCACGATGTCGAATCAATACTCTCGTCCTCACTTGATGATCCGCCGTTCTTCGAGTTCGTACTTATGGTGGAGAAGTTTGTACGCGTTATCAGTAATATCTTCGGTCCCATCGATCGACCATAGTGGTTTCTGTGGGCAGATGCGCCAACCCGGTGCTGAAAATAAAAACTGAAAGTTAAGAGGTAAATTGTCGCATTTCATCGCACAGTTTACTGCACGAGAAAAAATGCCTTAATTAATCATTTTAAATCAAAATCAGTTCATGCACTGGAACACCAAATCAATTAACAAGGCGAAAATTTGCTCTTTAATCCGTCAAATTACTGTCAGATAAAAAAATAGCGATTCGACGACGGAAATACGCTATTATGTGGCTAATCGAAAAAATCAGGCTGCTGCTAAGCTTCGCTCTTCAATAATCAGGAAATATTAAACATGTCAGGACTGCACTGCATTTTAACAGTAGCAAAAAAATTAATGCATCTGGTGTGTTTCATGACGTTTCTTCGTCTCCATTCAAGAGGTTGGAAAATCGATGAGCGACTAGGGCCTAGCGTTGAATCAAAAGAATTCTGTGGATTGCAGTTTTCATCGTGCCTTAAGTAAGGAGGTGCATGTAAGGAACACGCCGTACCGTACAGTACAACTGTACAGTTCAACAACAACTTGCTTGAAAAAAATTCTGCGACAAAATACCTGGGGTCAATTTTGTCAGAGGGCCTCGGCTGGGAACAACAGATGAACGAAATAGTTGGAAAAGTGCAATGGCCGTTTCGGTGTTGTGCCGGCAGAGGAAGTCTAGCGGTGATTCAGAAATTCTGAAAGATTTCACTGTTACTGTATCCTGCCGCACTTCGTTTACGCTGCATCGAAGAAAATGATTGGCTGGCATCCGGAGCCTTTTGAAACTACTTAGCTGACTCTGAAACTGCGACGCTGACCAGACGCTTGATAAAGACAACAGTGTTCTGGGCTGTTCTCTTCCAACTGACCCAATGCATCCGCTGCACAAGAGTTTCCGACAGTGTCTTCTGAAACGGCTAAGTACAGGATCCGTGGACGTTGCATGCAGATGCCGGAATGACGCATACCGAAAGTCAGTCCTTCCGTTTGCTGTCCAATGTCTTGTCGATCTCAAGAAAGAAGAACAGTATTTTGGGTGACTATGGACAGTCTGGTAAGGCTCCAGTTTTACACTGCTTACTTTTGTTTTTGCAATCTATCATATGACTTATTGTTTTATTAAGTAAATCTGACTGATATTCTTCTAGTGAATAAAACGGTGCTCTATTGACAGATTTTTAATGGTTGCTGTCTGAACCATAGTTAAATTTATCCACGATTGAACTTACTTAAAATTTCAGCGTTTTTAACGCGCTCGTTTTCACTACCGTTCTCTACAATAACGACTACTTGCTCCGACGACGGGGTCTTAGGCGATGACTCCTTTGCGGGCAGCCGCTGTTTCTTCGGACATCCATTACTGAGCAAATTCTCTCTCGCTAGCCTGCATCTCAAGAAGAATATAGTGCATGATTACAAAACTGTGAGAAATCAAACCGTTTCTTCCTCGAAGATGTCTCTTTGCGATGCGTTGACCCTTTTCTGGGGAGTGTGGATCTTGAAACGTCGCAATCACTGGTTTTTTCAGAAGCACTAGAGGTGCTGCCGGTGCCATTGGTGGACGTTGATTCGGTTCTTTGAATAATTTTTCTTTCTAGACTTCGGACCAACGCACAGAGCTAAAAGCATCAGGAGAAATATCATTAACCTGGCCCAGCAGAAATCACAGCTCCTCAAACTCTGCAAGTACACAAGCAGTATTTTTGGAGCTAGGAGCGAGAGTGCATCAGAAGTTATGGCTGAGACAACAACAAAAGCGACAAAAACTACAACAAAACAAAACCAAACCACCGGCACCAAACATAACAGCAGGAGTGCGCATTCAAAGGTCATGTGATTCGTTTTTTCTCTTACTGTCTTGATGCTTATTCGGCAGATACAAAAATACAGACAATCTTAAATAAAAATCCAACTGTTCATACCGTTTTGGCTATAAACATACTATGTATTCACAAAGTCGTCATATGTCTACGAAACTTAGCTGTTGCAAGCACGTCTTTTTGACCTCGCCCGCTACTCAGATCCGTATTGCATTAAAATTTTGCACTGTTTTATCAATGTTCAAAGAGCAGCACCACTCACGATTATAAAAAGCTTTAAAAACCAAAGTTTTAAACTTAATGCTTTCTCACTATTAGGTGTTTTCAGAACATTTTTCCGTATGTTCGTTGCCTTAGCTTAACTATAACTATGCAAACATTTATTAATAAAAAGAGAAGCATGCTGAATAAGAAAGGTCGCCTTGCTATGACGAAGCTTGTGATGGACAACCATATTTGATTCCATATATTTTACATTCATATCTTCTATAGTTTAACATCGAATTCTTTCCCATCGACGACATTTATCTTCTTACCCACTGCATCGACGACGACGGTGGGTGTCGTAAAAACAGTTCACTTACATAGAATAAAAGCAGGTTAATTCTTCAGTCGGTTGGACGTCAAATCAGATCTAAAGAGATCATACCACCTTGTTGAAGGTGTTCCTGATGGTCACTTATCATCTGACCATGCGTTCAGCATTCCCTTCGTACAACGGCTATCGTCCACCCCTTAGCAATATTCCCACCGTTTTGAACACCTTGTCTGTCACTTTAGATAGATATTCTAATCACTGTATGGCGAGGAACATGATCTTTGCCGAAACGACCAACATCGCCTACATCATTCTGAGAAATCCAAACGTAAGACAGTATTAATCTGGGCACTCGGTCCTTGACCCTGATACCTCACACGACAGTGACAATAACTAACCTCTCTCTATCTCTGACAAAGGGATTTGACACCTGTTCGTGTCGCTTCACTCTCGGTTTTTATCACCGTATTTTCATTTCTGTCGCTTCTCTCTTTTCAACCTTGACATGTGCTACCATATAAAAGCCATAAAGCAAGATATTCAAAATGCAAGCGCCGTATATCTGTAGCTTTGTCCTACTGCGAACATTTTTGTCCATCTAAATCTTGAGTAACTTGTAGCTCGCTGCCAATGTAAATGCATTGGTTTGTCTGAAGTCAACATCGCCACAAGATATAAATATTTTTATGCCTTTTCCACAACGTTGGTGTCAAGGGACACAGGGTCGGATAATTTTTGCTCTGGAACCTACTACTTACCGTCCAAATTGTCTTGGATGGAGCATCCAATCAAGAGGTATCACAAACAGTAGTGGGGATGCAACTCCTTGCTGCCTTAGTCTAAACTTTATCAGAAAAAATCTGTTTAACATAACATGAATTAGGATTACCCTTGATCAGAGATTTAATGTTTTTAATTACGCCCATAATCTTTAATGGGATTTCACACCGTTCGCCAACAACTTTCAACAAAGTATCTCTCCAGACTGAATGAACAAGGACTGCAAAAAATTTAGATCAACATTCTGTCATCTTTTCCCGCAGCTGTTTCATTTCGTGAATATCTGATCCAACCATTTCAGCGTAATAGTAAACAACAGTTTGCATAGCTTTGTTCTCGACCTGTTTGTACAGTCATGCTCAACTGCTATGAAACGGAAATCTTCATCTATATACTTGACAGATATCCATCTGTATCTTATCTAACCCTTCTTGTTACGCATCAACGAAAAGTTCCTGGAGAAGCGTTTGTCAATCTTGTGAATTCTCAGGAACTGCATTTATTTCTGTTTATGCTAAGAAAACCGTCTGAGGTGATTATGCCGACATGCCGCCGAGTTTTAATCTAAGAAAGTGACGGATGTCTATATCTTTCCCTTTTCTAACATCATCATCTTACGGAGTACCATTCCGTCATTTATCCATGCGGAAAAGTGGAGTTCTTTGGCGATCTTACTCAAAGAGCAAAATTTCGACTTTTAAAACGGACATGGGGGCCACTTTTGAATAAGCATGTAACGAAAGTCAAAAAGTTTAGCCTTTCACGTATGATTCGTTACCCAGTGGACAGCCGCTGTGGTCCTGCAACGTTGGTCCATGTGAAACTGAATCTTTTAGTCAGACCGAAGAGCACTGATACATTCATTCGAAGTAAATTTGCAGTTATAATTCATTGTCTCAGAACGTCACTTATTTTATTCTTACCATACTGAGCACTGGTGCCTATTTTAAGCATCATAATCTACATCACCAAGTAACTTCTTACGCTTCTCACAAAATATGAACCTTCCCAGTTAATATGTACACTCTGTATGACTCATATTGCTCTGAAAGATGGAATCTTTTGACACACAGGTGCCCATTCTCTTATGAGTCTTTAACTTTGAACGTCTGAAAGCAAAACAACTGCACAACCGTCTATCCAATGTCCAACTATATAACCATCTATTCAATCCTCGATCTAAATAGTAAAAAATCTGTCTGGCAAACTAAAGACTGTATTACACTTACTACATACCTTTGCAAACGTGTTCTTCAGACATGCTCTCAGCAGATTAAGACGATTCAAAACTCTGATCACAGCCAGCTGTCTCTTTGCTCTGTCAAATGGTGAAAGTTTGGCATTAGTGAGTTTCTTCAAACCTCTGCCGTGGCCCTAATGCAAGTTAACAAGCATTATTGTGGTTCCAGCAGCATGCGCTTTGCTCGAGCGAAAAACTTTCTTTGATGCACCTTTGCATCCATGCACTATAGGTACTCAAGTACCACGAACTCACTGTCTGCTTCAATAATCCTCAAGGCATGTAGATGCAAAGGGCGACGTAAATATTGTCATATACCCCGGTATGATGACTTGAATGAGTCGTTCTCTAAGGCATAAATGCATAATCCAGCTCTTGTTGGTCATATACAATATAAGTACTGTCATTAATTAGTATTATTATTCAAAAAGGATCTACGAGTCCGAGAACTCAGCCACCAAGCTAGAGAATCTGAAAATGTGATAGATGGCTAGAGCTAACTTGGATGGATATGGTAGCTTACAAATGATCAGTTTTTAGCATAATATTTGAAAATTTGACAACAAAATGAAGCCAAGAGATACCACGTGGAAGTGATAAGCGTCAAACAATCAACCTTTAAACACAGGCTGATGAAATCATTCAGCGATGTACCGTACTACTAGATACTATCCAACACTGTCCTCCAGGGTTATGCCGAGAAGTTTTCGAGGATACGAATACATGACAGCACGCAAACCCTTTAAACTTGAAATCTC